ACACTAGAGTGGACCTGCACAAGAGGGTAAGCACTCCGACGCTCAAGTCAGTATAGATCGGACTCCTTATTTAGTTCGAGGTGAGATTCGATACCTGAGCGTAAAATGAAGCCCTCTATTTATAGGTGACGGATCCGACAGCACACACGACCGGCGGTTACATGTCTTTTCTCATATCGGACCTGTCGGGTTCTGAGCAGGTCGGTCCCCGATCAGATCGAACTTTGGTACCCACACTTAGTCTTTTATAACGGGCAAACCTGATCTCCTCGGCGAGGCCGAGGTGGACCTAAGCAATCTTTTTTTTATCTAATTTCTTCAAACACTAATAGGGGTCCTCCACGTGTCTTGGGTATGTTTACCCCCAAACAAAGACATTTATTGTAGATTAGATTTATTAAAAATATCTGATTATGCTTAATTATGACAAAGTGCATAATTTCCCTTTTATTATGCAATATTGAATACCCAGATTATTTTCTTTCTTCCTCTATTTTTTTTCCTTTAACTTCTTTGTTGAAACTAGTGCTTAGGTGCCCAAATCAGCACAGAAATGAAGCGATGATTTTTTAAAACATGCACGGATAAAGGTTGTCGAGACCCTCCAAAATAATTACTAATTTTAATAAATCTAACTTCTTGTAGAAGTAATGAGACCAGGTTGAATCCTAAGAGAACCAATGAAATTAATTTATTAAAAAATGGGAGGTTTTGTATTTAATTTTTGAAATTTAAAAAGATAAATAAAAGGAAAACGAAAGTTAATCTTACCAAACTTCCAATCCAAATGTGTGATTTTCATCCAATTGTAATCTTGATCATAGGCTTTACAAAAATTGATTTTTTGATCAAGAACTTAGTCTACCTACACGGAACTGTCATGGTAAGTTTTAATTATCCTAATCTAATTAATTTAGACCAAGCATCAAAATTAAATCTTATTAATTAATGACACGATAGCGTTCCACATTAATCAAAGAATATCATTAAGAATGATGAGAATAACTATCAATCAATTAATTTGATATAGCTGCAAATGAATTATTTTTGTCCATTTGTTTTCCTAGGGTTTATTATGCAAGCTATTTAAACATGGAAAAACCATAAATACACACCCATAAGTCAACTCCTACTTATTTCAATCATTCATGACAATTACGGATCACAAAATCATAGATAGCAATTAAAACAATTAATATGAATTAAGGCGTCAATTTAATAGATATAATCTGTTCATAAATAATAAGAACAAGAAACAAAGAATACTTGAAAAAGAAGAAATCTCTATCTAGCTTGAGCCTCCCAAGCTTACAATCGGACTTGAATCACCATTGAGTTTGAAGAATTAAAGCCTAACCGCTCATTGTAGAGGGAGAGAACTTGAATTTTGGAGAAAGCTTTTCGTTGGAACTGGAATGATGGAATAATAGATGTTCCAATAAGGCTTCTCTTTATAGAGATTAATTTTATCATGTTTTAAAGAGAGAATTATCTCTAATAAGGAATTCATAACTAATTGAGAAGATCCTATTTAAATGAAAACAAATTTCCTAATCAATTTGGAAGAATGTTACCTACTTTGATTATATCTCATTATTTACAAAATATTCTAAATATCCATAATTATTAATTTGAAGCGTCCCGCCATAATAATTGTGTCTGGATTTTCACGAATTTTATTTAACCCTAGCTAGCCTCCATATAAAGAAAGAAAGTATATATTTTATATCAAATGACATTTTTATGGAGCAAACATAAAAGATTAGGAGAGAAATGGAAGGAACGGGAAGAATGGAGTCACGATAGATCACCAAACTTTGTTTTCTTATCTTTTCTTGCTTGAACCTCTTTTAATGTTGTCGATTGAAATTTTCTTTTCAGATTAAAGTATGAACTAGTTTTATTTTCTAGGACATTTCTGTAATCATTTATTTAATCCTACCTATACGACTTAATAGTTGATATTTCTATTCCGTATTTATGATATATCACTACTAGAAATATGGTCTTCCATGACAGTTGTGAACAGAAAAAGTTTGGATGAAAAAAAAACAGTCATAAATAATTGGGGCACGTTTTTGGCGGGAAAAAATGCAACTTTTCGAATTTTGTAAGTTTTATGACAGTTAAAAACTGTCACAAAAATCGAATTTTCAATAACAGTTAAAAATTGTCACGAAAAGGTGGAGTCGCAATTTTGACGGGAAAAAACGGTGATCTACGAAAATTTCCATGTTTTATGATTGTCAAAAAAAAAAAAAAAATTTCAAGTATTTCGTGACAGTTACTTAGACCATCTTAAGAATCTATAACATACAAAATATGTCACAAATGATTTTGAGCGCGTTTCATTTCAGTCGGAAAAACACAGCTTTATGGATGATATTAATTATTTCGGGATTCTGATTGTATCGAGTATAGATTTATAATTAATAGTTTCCACAAATACTTCATGAAATAAGTAGAAAATGGTATTTGGTATAGTGGTCTTGTTACCCTGCTTAATTGTGTCATTCCTCTTTAGTCTCGAGTTTGAGCCTAGTGAATTTCAATTATTTTATCAACCCTCTATTATTATATTTTTACAAAAAAAATTACTTTTTACAATTAAAAATTTAATTTAATTATATCTTCAATTTAAAATAAATAATATATATTTATTTTAATTCATCATGAAAATCAAAATATGATGATAAACATAAAATAATATAAGTTAATTCTAGTTTCACCAAGCATTCCGTATATAAAATATTTATATTTATATTACACCCTGATTTTTTTATTTTTTTTATAGAATGAAAGGTAGTCAACTTAATCGAATGTTTAGGAATTAATTTGGGTTTAAATTGGAACTAGTTAGGTTCGTGAACCTTTAAATTTTGTATAACATGAAATTTTGAATTTTAGATAAAAATTTTTTAATTAAATCTTAGTTTGAAATTTTTAAGAATATTATTAGGAACTTTTTGAAAGAAAATAGAAACAAGTCATAATCGTTTTCAATAAGATGAAAAATAAAAACTCAGTAGATATATCGTTTTATATAATTTTTTTTTAAATATATAAGTGATAGCATATTTAGTTACTTGTGTGAATTGAACTCAAGACGAGTGAGACTTATGGAAACACCAACACCAACAAAATAAGCTGATTTTATTAAATGTTCAAGTATAATATTAATATAGTAATATTTTTTCATTCTTGATAAATAAAATTAATATAAATTAAATCAAACCACGCCCTTTTGCGAACTGCTTTCTTCCTCATATGTTTTCGATGTTCTTTTCAAAAAACCTAAAGTTCATCATCTTCTTTGCACTCTTTTGCCTTTGCCGTCATCCTTCATCTTCCTTATGCCATCGTTGGTAATGACGCAAATCCACATAATTGATCGTTGACACTATAAGAATTATGAGTTTTTTCCGACGCTTTTATTCTCGACGCTAGGCAAACATCTTTTTCCTGACTAAAGAATAATATTCGAGACTTTGCCGACTATTGACTAAAATAATCAGGAAAGGAATACATTCTCGACGCTTTTATTCTCGATGCTGGGTGAAGTTACTCTTACAGAATAGTGGACTTTACACCAATATTTTAATAAATTGTTGGGTGTTATTGTTTTTTTTTTTTTTCAAATATTAGACTTCCGAACTATTTTCGAAATACTCGGGAGATATTAATATTCCCGATCATTCTAAAATAGCATCAGTAATATTTTTAAAATTTTTTAAATATTACAACTTCCAACAAGTTAGGAAAAATGGATTTTCCCAATTGTTTTAATAATTGTTGGGCAATATTAATTTAATTTTTTTAAATATTACGACTCCCGACTATTTAAAAAAAATAGTGGACAAAAGTGAATCTAGTCAAATATTACAGCATGGAGATATGTTATTTATAAAATTATCCTTTTGTTTTTAAATTAAAAAGTTTTTAAAATTTTTGTTTTTTAAAATAATAACCAAACTAAATCTTTTTACCAATTTTTTTAAAATAATAAATAAATTGCATCCCACATATTAATAAAATGTCGGGATGTCGGAGACTGAAAATGCCTAATCTCATTTTTCTTCTCCCTTAGCTCGAAAGCAAGTTCTTACTCTTTGACCTGAGGGGAAGAAAGCGGTGATTACCTGGCTTTGTTAGAAGTGGATCTCGTAAAGCTATGAAAGCTAGCTAAGCTTGTAATTACTGTTGCTCCCCAAAAGCTCATCTGACTATAAAAAAAAGACCTGTTTATGAAACTTCTTACCCTCGGGATGAGAAAGTTACCTCGGGATGAGAAAGTGCTCTGCGATGGATCGCGTCGCGGTCTCAAAATGGAGCGAGGAATTTCAGATCCCCACCCGTTCCACCAAAAAAAGTATATCTATTGCGCGGTTAAAGTCTCTTCCTCTCCTCCTCTTTCAAAGCAGTGGCAACACTGTCGCCCAGTTTCGCCGCTGTCGCCCAGCCCCTTTGCCGTCGCCCAACCCTAGCATCGTCGCCCAACTTCGTCGTTCTATCGTCCGCCGTCTAGGGCCCCGCCCCTCCAATCCTTCATTCATTCTTCCTATCTACCACGAACCCCCCCCGCCCCGCGCAACCTCCAAACCTAGCCCCCTCCATTCAAATTGCGAGGCACGACCATAGAAATCGTTGATTACAAGCTTCAAGAGTTGAATTCATCTATTTCTCCTCCTTTCTCATGCCCTATTCATGCAAATCAGGTTCGGTTTGTTCTATTCTAGGTTTTCTCATTTAATTTACAATTATTTACAATAATTTGGCGCTCAACCCTATCTTCGTTTTGGGAATTTATGGCAAATCAGTTCCTATATTATTTTTTTGCCCGAAAAATTTTCACTACAAGAGTTACCCAACTCACATGACCATTTTCTTGTGTGTTTGAATTTGAAGTTTTTCGACCTGTATGAGTCGTTCCAACAATTAATTTTCCTGTGCCTAAATTATGTTGGATGTGGATTTTACTGGAATTGATTTATTTGAGAATAGTAGAGGAATCGAGATGAAAATTGGAATGCGCATGATTTGATTTGATTTTCTTTGCTTCTGAAAGCTGATATGAATTGCGTATATGGCGTAAAAGTAGCAGTACATCTTCTTCTGTCGGTAATTTCATTTGACGCTGTGGTATCCTAACTCATTAATTTGATCCTAGTCACTGTTTCATTAATGAAAATTAGCTCATGGAAGTGTGTTTATTTAATTGATTTGTTTTGGGTTATCTGTACCTCTCATTTCCCTCGTCGACTTATCTGAATGTTAATTGATTTGTTTTGGGTTATCTGTACCTCTCATTTCCCTCGTCGACTTATCTGAAAGGTTAATTAGAGTATAGTATATTTAGTGGTGTGAAAGACTCTGAAATAATGCATGAAGTTAGAGGTATTTTTATATATGGAGTCAATATCTTTCTTTTTGTTTTGTGAGGATTGCATTTCAACTATTGAGCATGAATTTTGATCCAAACTAGTGACCTATAAGAACTCGTCAATTAGGTTTTGTTTTTTGTTTCAAAATTAATTCAAAGTCCTAAAGTACCGTGGTAAAGCCATCATTATCTCTCTCAATAATCAAACATTTGAAAGGCAAAAGGTCTAGAGTTGAATTTGAAGTATCTTAGTGAACTGAGGCTGCCCTTGATGGGTAATTATTACCTATAATTAATCAACCACAATTTTCCGATTCTCTTTTTCTATCTTTCTTTTTTTAATTTTATCTGTCTCTTTTTGCTACCTTGCACATTATCAGAATCGGCAAAAATAAAAATTGGATGGATGGATGAATGCTTTTCTGAGGGGTAAATGTGGTTGATTTATCCTGAAAGTTCTTTTGTTTTGTTTAATTTTGATGTATATATATAGTTTGGTTTAATTTTGGTGTGGAGAAAGAACATAAAATACATATTATATAGGGTACTAGATTGGAAGAAATCAAAATGATTGCTAAAGCAATAAATTGCGTTGAATTGAATGAGAGAAAAAGATGTACATATATATAGTGCAAAAGGTAGAGGGTGGTCCTTCCCTTAGTTTTATTATTTGGAGGGGAGGAAGCACTTAGTTTTCATTTCTTCTGTCCCTCCCTCAATTTTAGTTTCTATTTTCTATCGTTCTCTGCAAGTTAGCACTTTTGCACTAATGGAGAGTGTTCAAACTTTTTTGTCTTTCATATTTTTTCCTTTCATTACTTTTACTAATTGTGAAAGCTTGTTCTTGCAGTGAGAAATGAGAAATGTGTTAGATAATGTTTATGTTTCTGTTTGTTAAAACTATGTTGTTTAGATTTGTGTGTTCATATTTTGTTTGTGGTTGTATTTCTTTCCCGTTCTGGCTGCTTCTATGGTCTCTTTTGTGAATATTTGTGCCTTGAGTTTAGGCTTGACTTGCTTATGTAAGATTGTGCAAGTAGCCAATTAAGACTTAGTGTTTATATGTGTCATGCATGGATAATTGTGTGTATAAAGTTTAGTTGGATAATTATGTGGCTATCCTGTAGCAAAGATAGTCAATTAAGACTTAGTGTTTATATTTGTGGTATGCATATGGTTTAAAATCTAGTTGGATAATTGTGTGGCTATCTTGCAGCAAAGATAGACAATTAAGACTTAGGATTTATATTTGTGTCATGCATATAGTTGAAAGTCTAGTTGGATAATTGTGTGCCTATCCTGCAGCAAAGATGGCCAATTAAGATTTGGATAAGTAGATT